GGATCACCAGGCAGGCGTACAGCAGTGACAGGCAGACACATGTAACGGTGTCCTGTATGGAAAGATGTTTCCCAGCTGACAGCTGTCCATTTTCACCTGTACAAGTGAACAGAACACTGAGCATCGGCAGCTAATGAGGCGCGTTGGAGTGACGTCACCGCCCCTCTTCATCTGATTGGCTAGAGGAGGAGCTGTCAATCTAGAACTAGTGGACCAATGATAACTCTTAAACCCACCCTGATTTACATGAAACTCTAACCGCAACATTTGGGAAAGCAAGCGCAGAACGTGGAAACAAGAGCGAAGGGAAAAACAGCATAAGCATACAAAAAATAAAAATATGAGCAGAAAATGTCTGAGACCAGAAAAAACTGAGAAATATAACCAAGGAAAACACGATTTTGTGCGCAATTCAGACAATTTTGCATTAATATTTAAAATTTGTGCAATATGATTTTAAAACGTGTTTAAAGTTTTGATTCATGCTTGTTATTTAAAAAAATGCGTTATAAATTTTTTGATTTACGCTTATTATTGTTTAATCCGTGACCATTGTTTGCAATTCTGAAAACTTTGCTTTCATTTTTAAATCTTGTACAATATATTTTTTACTTGCGTTTTTAAATTTTGTTTTCATGCTTGTTCTTTTTTTTATCCGTGACTGCAATACTTTAGGCGGGATTCTGATCCCATAGCAGGGTCTCGAGTAGGAAATACTGCTGCTGCACATATAACATATACTGTATGAAATTACCCCATATAAAACATACATAAAATTACCCTGTAGCAGATCTATACAGGTGGAGCTGGGGAGTTGGAAGGTGGAGGGCAAGTATTTGAATGTTCAGCAGCAAGCTCATTGGCTGCTGATGCGAAAAGAAACCAATCAGCTGTGCCATGTTAATGATGATGTAATTATATCAGATTGAGTTATAATCTATGGATCTGCGAGTTTCATGACAGACTAAACACAGACTATAAAAAGCAGTGCTGTTTTGTGAATATATATATATGTAATGTATATATATATTGTCATATATTTTATGTTCCTGTGGCTCAGTGGTAGAGCATTGTGTTAGCAGTGCAAAAGGTTGTAGGTTCGATTCCCAGGGAACACACATACTGAAAAAAATCTATAGCCTGAATGCACTGTAAGTCACT